TGTTAGCTTGCTCTCCCGCACAGGGCTATTGTTGAAGGAATGGGAAAATAAACAAACACTGTAGAAGAAACTAATGCCTTTTTTCCTCTCCCATCGCCTTCTTTTCCTCTGGTCAATCCATGAAACTGCCACAGGATAAAGCTTGGTCAACAACTATAAAATAGAGTAGAAACTAAAAGCCAGCTTGGTCAAGAAGGAGTTGTGCTGGTTGTTCATCAAGTGGTGCTACTTTAAGGCAGAATTAAGCTGCTGCTTCCAAATTGTCCAAGGCCAGCTCCAGTGTTTTCCCCTTCACCTTAGTTCCTGTAACCTCTTTCAAGGTCAAAATAGCTGATATAGTTAGCACATGAATAGAAGTTGGGCTTCCTTAAGTGTTGAGAGATATCTATTTAATTTTTTTAAAATGTGCTCCAGTGAGGTTGCATCTTGCATTCTAGTGAGCTTTGCTTTGTGATTGGTCTTTGGAACGTAAACGGAGACTTCATTTCACAGATCTGATTCTTAAAGCTCATTACATCCAACAAAATCATGTTGAAGCAGGAACAGGGGACCCAGTGTGTTGTAATGGATAGTGACAAACTAGGACTTAGTAGGCCTGGGTTCAAATCTCCACTCAGCCATGGAAACTCACAAAACCACTGCTTAGATACCTCACTTACCTTGAAAGCCCTGTTAGCGTCACTATAAGTGGGTTCCAACGTGACGGCACATAACAACAGGAGGAATAACGAGCTATCAGTTTATAAATGAAAGTTTAATGAAACTCACCTAGTTTGGCTCCTCATGGTAATTTTATGAACTAGAGGAGATTGCCTGATGCCCCCCAGCTGCTCTGGACTAAAATGCTCCTCACAACCTACAGCAGGGAGGCTACCCCTCCCACAGTCCTTTGCCATTGGCAACACAGGCTGGAGATTTTGGGAGTTGTGGTCCAAAGCATCTGGAGTGCTCAGTGTACAAAACCTCTGCCTTCATGAGTATGACCATAGTGTGGCAGTGCTTAGGACAGCCATGCTGGGTGAGGTGTAGGGAAGCTGGCTAGGAAAGACTGGATAACATAAGCAAAAGTTGCCTTCATTAGTGCAGCATTTTAATCCACCCTAGATATGATTTTTACTAGCTGGCTGGATAGCTCAGTGGTTTAGGTATCTCGCTGCAGATATGATTAACTTGTTCCACCAATTTCAGCGGGTCTGTTCTAAGCATGACATAACTGAATCCTCGCATTGTTAGCAGGTTAGAAAGCCCAACAGCAACCCACAAGTGCACAAGAATGAGAGTGAATCATTGTGTTCTGGTCACAAGTAAACTCAGCGCTCATAATACTTCTTCCTCCTTTCCAATCCATTCTCCCTCCCTCAACTATTTATTGCACTTAAATCTCAGTGACAAGACCCCACTGCAAATATAAACACTTAGCATATAACTATATCTTGCCCAACTTTCTCACAAACCCTGTACTCCTGATACAACCATGCACAGCACAGCTCAAGTTGCACAAACCTCCATATACTTCTGGTTACATTCACAAATAAATCTATAAACAAACACTTTGCTTCATTTACAGACATGTGCGCCCCTTAGGCCTCACTTGCACACAGGGATTACCCATCTAGCACTGGATGGAGTGGTACAATAGGCCCCTTTAAAAGTCTGGCGGCTTGACAGTAATGCTGAAGAGCGAATTGGAGACATGTTGAAAGGTAACTTGAGAAATTTCTGCAATTTATTGGTTTCAAGGGTGCCACTAAAAGGGGTATACATCCATGCAGTACATCCTTAAGAGGAAAACCTGACTGTTTGCCTTGATCTGCATTTGGTAGATTACCTTGCTTTTGTTTTCTGACTAGTGACTGTTTTTGTGGCACAACTACAAATGTGCAACTCAAGATTATGTATGTGGCAGTCATGCTCGCACCAAGGCAGAAATACTTTCCCTGAAGCACTTCCACCGGTGCATTGAAATTGGTCATGCCAGGGACATGCAACCAATTCCTTGTTGCAAGGTGTCATGCCTGGTACATTTATGCCTGTGTAACATTATATTACACTGGCATGAACTGGATAAATGGTCCATGTTTGTTATTTCAGGCACATAGTATTAAAGGACTTTCAAGGCTGGAGGATAATATTGTAAGATAAGGAAACAAGCATTTGCTTTAACAGGTGCTCTAACTCTCAATTGAAACCTACTCTTCTACCTTTAGAGGGACGTGGTGGCACTACGGGCTAAACCACAGAAGCCTGTGCTGCAGGGTCAGAAGACCAAGCAGTTGTAAGATCGAATCCACACAACGGAGTGAGCACCCGTCACTTGTCCCAGCTCCCGCCAACCTAGCATTTCGAAAGCATGCAAATGCAAGTAGATAAATAGGGACCACCTCGGGGGGAAAGTAACAGCGTTCCGTGTCTAAGTTGCACTGGCCATGTGACCACGGAAGATTGTCTTCGGACAAAACGCTGGTTCTATGTCTTGGAAACGGGGATTAGCCCCGCCCCCTAGAGTCGAACACGACTGGACAAAAATTGTTAAGGGGAACCTTTACCTTCTACCTTTAATCAAATTATGTTTTTCAAGCACATTCTATACAGCCATGGTGTGGCTACACTCTTTAATTTAGGATTTCCTGCATTGAGAATGGTTGGATTAGTTGACGTGTAAGCTTCCTTCACAATTTTATGATTTGTTGTTTAGTTGTTAAGTCATGTCCGACTCTTCGTGACCCCATGGACCAGAGCACCCCAGGCCCTCCTGTCTTCCACTGCCTCCTGGAGTTGGGTCAAATTCATGTTGGTTGCTTCGATGACGCTGTCCAACCATCTCGACCTCTGTCGTGCCCTTCTCCTCTTGCCTTCACACTTTCCCAACATCAGGGGCTTTTCCAGGGAGGCTTCTCTTCTCATGAGATGGCCAAAGTATTGGAGTCTCAGCTTCAGGATCTGTCCTTCCAGTGAGCACTCAGGGTTGATTTTGTGATAGTGAAGAATAAAACTTCAATGACATCACCTTTATTATATGCAAAAATGTTGCCCTTACTTTTCTCTGTGTTGGCTGCTTTCTACTGATAAAAGCTGATTGGCATGTTTGTTTATTACTAGCAGAATCTGGAAAACTTTTTTTGTTAACAGCTGGAATCTTCTAATGGTTTGCGGATTCTGCATTACAGTACAAAACTGTAGTGTTCTTAAGCTCCCCAGGCAACTTGTGCCTAGATAGGGGCATTCCCCAAATTTAGGGGTGAGGTGTTTCCCATGAGGTGTCCATTAATGACTCCTCTGAAGCTCTGGTTCTGATAAGCTAAATGTGTTATTATTAGAGGCACCAAAGGTAAGGACAGGAGGATTTTTTTTTTACATGCATGAAGTGGTAAACGTTTCAATCAGTGTTTGATTGATCCCTGAAAAATGTGCCAACAGTGGTGGGTTGGGAGGCTTTTCACAGGCAATGAGAAAGTTTCATATTGCACCCCCACTTCAGTTTTGGCTCAGCTCTCAAAGACTACCTCTGTCTAGCTGATTCAAGACTTGGAACAACTGTCAAGTCCTAGAAGTTTACAGACATTACTTTTTTGAAGGAAGAATAATGCAACTTGCATCTCTGTCTGCATCAGGTCTGATTAGCTCTGAATGATAAAATTGCTGCTGCTAAACAGATAATGTTCTACTTCAAAATAAGACAGCACCAAACCAGCAGCTAATTGATAATCTCTCTCTTCTCTCTCTCTCTGTGTACACGTGTGTCCGCACTCACTTTTTCAAGTTTCTCTGCATTGACACTGGTCCATCTGTTTTAATATACAATTCTCTCTCTTTTTTGCCAAATACGTAATGAAAAACCAGTATAGGCTTTGGTGGATATAAGACCATCCACAGTTTCATGAATGCATGGATTAAAAACATCAATCTGTCAACCCACAATTTTGCACAGATATGTGTTACTCTCCTTCAGAGTCTTTATTATGCTGTTGCAATAACAGCAGAATAGTAGAAGATAAATCCAAAATGTAGGACAAGCTGATGTTCTGATCCTTAAACAGGATAACAAAAAATTCACAAAATGTAATGAGTTTATGACCAAGGACAACCAGATGCAAAAATGTGGCCAAACTCTTCCCACTCCACTCCATGCAATATTGCATTGTGTGAACAGCCAGATTATTTCTGAGCTTGTGCAAGAAGGTAACAAGTATCTCTTTGCATAAAAGTAAAATCTCTTTCCTTGTGCAAGAGCGAGCTGAAAATCATGTGGAGCAAGCTGAGAAGATGATGATTCTGGTGGGTATAGTCCAAAATAACTATTGAAAATAAAACTGTATATAATACCCAGTAAGTGTATAATATTGGAGATCAGCATTGGCAAGTGAAGATCAAGAGGTAGTGGAATGGGCATACAATCCTGGCCAGCAAGAGACGTGAATTCTTAAATCGTCTGCTTGATTTTATTTGAGTATCTTCTGCATTAGGCCCCTGACTCACTGCCTCCTCAGTCCTTTCTTTTTATTCCTTCATCACCATGCCTGTTCTTGGTGCACATACAATTGGCTAGAACAGCCATGACTTCAATGAAATGTAGGAATGGAGAAAGTTGCCTTGTATTCAGTCAGAACATTGGGCCAATGGACCCAGTATTGTCAACTCTGAAAAGAAGTGGCTCTCCAGGGTTTCAGGAAGAATTCTCTACTAGCCCTACCTGAAGATGCCTTGATTTCCCTGTTTGTCTCCCACTGGAGTACTAATCAGGCCAAGTACTGCTTAGGTTCCAAAATCTGATGAAAGCCATTGGCACAGTTATTACTAACCAGCAGGAAGTAAACCACAAAATGTGGTAAGAACATCATTCTGGAGTAATAACAGTCACAGTAACTATGACACCAACTTGGCAAATATGTTCTGTTTCCAGTCAATATTCCCATGATGGGCAGTATCATAAAGAAACATCTGTGGTTTTATACACATAGACAAATATTTTAATATAGCTATATGTGAAATGTTATCCACAGTTTAGTCATGTCAATCATTAACTAAACATTTCATAAAAAGGACATATTTTACATATCTTCTATTTACAATTACAATATACTTAAATGTTATAAAACATTCACTTTTGACCTTTAAAATACTGTATATGAATACTAGGACTTGTATTAGATTGTATTATCATTTATGGCAAACGTAAGGCTTGCTGTGAAACTAAATGGTCAATGAAAAATTCATTTTCAGTCTGTTTAATAAAAGACTGGCCCATACAGGAAAAAAACATAGGAAATGTGCAAATGTCAGGAAAGGCAATAAAATTAAAAAAATAAAATAAAAATCAACTGGCAATCAAAATGAAAGAACACTGGAAATGTTCAATAAATAAAAACAATATACCACTGTTCACTGTTTATGGAATCCTTCATGATTCATTTACACAGTTACTGAAAATAATCCAACCATCCCCTAGTACTGTGCTCAAAGTCAACATGGGCTATCAAATGTCAGTATTTGATGACACCAGGGGTCCAGGCAGGACTGTGGTTGTTCTACTGATTGCATTGGAATAAGGTTGTTCCACTCCTTGATGCTTTGCAGACTCCTCCTTGCAGGTGATCTTTAAAAAATATACACACACAAAGAGTGATGAAATAAATAATGATATGTGCAAATTAATACCACGATTGTCGACTCAATAGACCCCTATCTTAATAGATTATGATGATCTTGTGGTTTTGAAGAAAGAGAAACTTTGAGTCATGCTTTTTATTTTCAGTTGCTTTTATCATGCTTCTTATTGCCTATGCAGGCAATACAATGATTAACCTATTGCCGTATGTCCTGCAATGCCACCAGAATATTAGATCTCTTTCACTTTTAGTAACACAAAAGAATTTATTATAGAAATGTTGCAAAAAATTTAATGAGAGCCATGAAGATATAGGTGACAAAAATTCCAATTAGAACTTGTAACCAATTTTTGGCTTAATTGCATTTTATGTTTATAGTTTTCATTGTTGTATTTTAACTTTTTTTGTGCCATGTTTGATCTTTATGAGTTTTAGGTCAGTTAATAGGATCACTTAACAGAAAAATCAGAATATACCTTGACTTTAATTTTTTAAAAAATCAAACTTATTCAATCTGTTCACTCTAAAATACATTTTCAGAATTCTGATGTTTCTAGGTTCCTGAGCAGTTGCTATTGAAAGGGAAGGGAGGTATTTCATAGGTTTACAATTCCCCTTACTCTGGAATGCACTTTTGTTAAAATGACACAAAAGAAAGAAATGCATACTCTGGGGAAAACCCAAGTTAAGCCTGATTCCCACCATAATGTCTAAGTTTAACATAACCAAGAGAAGATTTTATTTATTTTTATTTTAAATATTAACTTATGAATATGATTCTATGGGGTGAATGCTAACAATTAACATGTGACATAAAAAGTGTAATTTGCTGTGGTCAGTTCATTCATAATAGGCATTCACCATGTGAAACTGTTAATTGTTTACATGAAAAAAGGAAAGAACTCCTCAGTGATCTGTCCTAAAGTTGAAAAATTACATTTAACCTTTATCCAGGGAGACAGGACATATTACTTCTCCAGAATAATGTAATATAGCCCAGTTCTTCACCAGACAAGACCTACATTGTCACTTGAAGAGTTGTAAACAATGCCCCAAGTTTCAGCTACTTGTTACATATGTTTTTTTTAAGAACACACACACCTCACACACAGTTAAAAAAAACACCACAAAAATTATTTCTAAAAATCTATTCCCTTTGGCTGTTACAATACTTGTTTGTCCGAGACAATGTAATGTATAGAGGTTAAAAAACAATCTTAATTTTTGGGGGTAAGCTATCAGGCCAAGAAGCAGAAATGGTATGTATTATGTCTCATTGTCTGTCTGTGATGGGAAATATAAAACCTCTTAATCCAAATCCTAACCCTAACTCTTCTGCTACCTCTCAGTATGTAGGAATTTGCATAAGATCATAACATACCCTTGAAGTCACTCAGTGCATGTTTCTTATGTGCCAAGATTAGGGTTAAATTAATTCCATAGCATTAGTGATTTATGTGTTTGAGAAGTAATCCACCCTTGTTTCTCATGGAAGTTCTGAGTAGTACTTGTGCTACTCTTTACTTTTGGGGTGAGTGAGGGACCCTTTAGAATTGATAAAAATTGATAATGACATAGAATTATTATGCATAATAAAGTAAAGCATCTTTTAAAAGAATCAAACTTTAACCTTTATCCAGGGAGTGACTTAAAATCTCAAAAATTAACTTCTGGAAGTCATTGTAAAATGTTACTAATTTTACCAGTTGTCACTTCATTTCTAATGGTTTCATTATTTTTGAAATGTAGTTTCCTTACGGCCTTGTTACAATTCCAGAAGTAAATGTTACTTGTAATTCATTATTTCGGAGTTCTGATAAGTCCATGCTTTCCTGCATGAGGATAGTGTGTGTCCTATTGTTTTCTCTTTGACTTCTATGCCCTTGAAATAAATGATTAATCTCAAATCTTCTAATAAACAAGAATGAAAATAGTAAGAAATCATAAGTAAAAGTCAGATAATACATAAGACTAGCAAGTGAACATTTGTGACAGTGAAAGAATACATAGACATAAAGAAAACCACACATACCACTTTTGGCTATAGTATTGAGGGAAATATTAGACAGTGAAGCAGAGAAGTTGTATAAGCATTGACCATGAAAGAGCTGCCAGAAAAAGAGAGAAAAAAATGTTGACGAAGATGCCTTTATCAGTGGAGGAGATACAAACAATGTGGCAAAGAAACACTGAAACCCATGGTCCATATAAGAAAGTACAGTGAATGGCTATAGATGGATGATTTATATAGAGAAAAATCAGAATGTCCCACCCACAGTTAATATACAGTTCCAACGGATACTCATGTATGCAGAGGTGAGAGTTACCACACAAAATGAAGGGTGGGATTCTATGCTTAACTGCATCTCCACTGTCTGCTGATTCATGTTCCCAGTCATGTCAAGGGAACAGTTTTAGGATACACAAATGGGATATAGGTATCACTGTCAAACTTTATGAGGCAGTTACTTGTTGTGTGGGGAGGAACAGCAAGAACAATGACACCCCTTTTGGAAGGGCTGGCCTCCTGGATGAAATAGCAACGTGCGGGATTGCTTATGTAAGTGGTGAGGCAAAGGTGTGAGCCTAATGGCCTGGTTGGCCAATGGAAGAGCCAGGCTATTAGCTTACGCAGCATTCCTCCAAATTGACTCAGCTATTATGACTGAGATAGGCAAGTCCCTCCCTCCCTTTCCTAGCATGGAGCTGTATCCTAGTTTTGACGTATTCCAATGAATATATACATGTATACATATATACGTACATGTATATATACATGTTCCAATGTATACATGCAAGAATATATACATGTATGAATATATACATGTATATATACATGTTCCAATGAATATATACATGAATATATACTATATATATAGAATAGCAAGAAGGCTAAAGCAGCATCTTCCCACTCCTGTTTATATTAGAGCGGCAAGTGTGCAACAACTTGCATGATATCTTACTCATTACAGTTAACTGTATAGTGACCCTCAAGACACTCTGAGACCAGAACAGAGAGCTTTCAAAATGGCTCAAAGGGACCAACTGATCATAACAAGACATTTAACATTCTTGTGATTGGTACCAACCAAGAAGTTCCAAATCTGTAAACTGTCCTTCTAAGTTAACCGGAAGTGTCATTCATACTGGTTGTTATAAAATAATTTAACACATGAGGGGATAGAAATAAATTGGCTTGAATTTCTTTTCCCAGCTCATAATAATGAGATGCCTACCACTATAGGGAAAGGAAGAAGGGAAAGGAAGAAGGGGTGACGCAAAGCAAGGATGGGCTTCCAGGGTGTAAGAGAGTGACAGAGGTGGGTGGGAGGGAATTCCTTTAGGTGTAAAAGGAATAAATTGGGAATTGGAAGACCCATTCTTCATTTTATGCCCAGGTTTCTAATCACCACCATCCTTTCTCTGCAAGTCAAATTCAGTGAACTTCCCTGGTATCTCCAATGTCTTTGCAACAGAATTATATTTTTAAAACTCTAAGCTACTAAAGACAACAACAGAACATCTAACCTGTTCATTCATAACTTCAGAGAGCTCACTGAGCATATCCTTGTAATGCGATTTCATTTCCTCTTGATATTCCAACTGGTCTTCCTTAATAAGGCGTTCATTAACTTCAAGAGCTTGTCCACATGCTTCTGCAAACTGCCTATATTACACAGGACACATACTAGTTGTAATGTCAAAGGGACACAATCATTAAAACTGCAACACAGTATTCTTGTCTGATGATAGATTCAAGCAATGTAAACATGGTGGGGACATGTACAAATGGCCTTCTAGGGATTTTATAACTCTTTCTGTTTCAGTCAAAGAATGCATTTCAGTTGTCATAGCTTGTTTTATGGCCAGGATTTAACACAATAAAGAACCTGAAGATGCATTTCCTCACTATTCCTAAAATAAAAGGAGGTTTGGCTATTTCTGGAATTCAAAAGCTTACCTGAAGATCTCCTTCAGAAGTTTTACTTGGTTATCTGGGTATTTCTTAGCATTAGTTTCTTCAAGGAAAGCTCGAGCATAAGCCATAGGCCCTGCATTTACCTGGGAGGTAAAACATATTATATTACAATGATGGCCAAAGGTGTCAAGGCTTCAATTTTAATTTGTCTGTGCAGATGTGTTATGAATGGTCAGCTGTTCTTCAACAGTTCTAATACATTCCAGCAGTGTCAGGACCTGGTCTTGTGCTCAATTCAACTCTGGATGCCTTTTGTGAATCTCAATCTACTACACCGTACAAATGGTACCATCGGTCCGACCCTACTTCAAACAGTTGAACAGAGTCTTCCAGGCAGGGCTACCCTGCCATTAGGCAAAGGGAGGAGGTGGTTGCCTTAAGCAGCAGATGCTGGGAGGTGGAAGCAAGATATTGAAGGAGAGAGCTTTGTGGGACACCAATATGTGAGGCAGACTTAATTCAAACCTTCAAACACTCATACGACAAATACGAAGAACTCCATTTCTGCTCCCTCAGAGGTGAGCAGTTAGCACCACTGATCCGACTCTCACATATAGTTTAATTTCTTTATTGTGTTTGAAAGACCAAAAGTATATGCCTTCTGATGCACAGGGACTCCTCAACCACCTCATGATATTGAAACAATCAATTCAGATTCTAAATATTTAAACAATATTTTATTATACTTATTGTAAAGAATGGAGAGGATTATTCTACCTACTTTCAAACTACAGAGGAGCTAATCATAGTGTCATAATACATCTACTTGTCATTAGATGCTTGTTTTGATTGCTTGGATATTGACTAAATGTTTATACCAAGATTTAGGTAAGTCCTATTGACATAATGAGAGTGGTCTGCTTGGAACTAACAACCAGATTTGGTCCTTGGTTTTATTTTTCAATTATTTGGATTTGCAGCAATACAACAACAATACAGAGACTGTATTCTTCTCCATGTAACTGGAAATGTCGACAGTGGGAGGGCTGAGCTACACTTACCTTGACGCTAACACTTCCTTGCAATTTCAGTTGCAGCCTAATCATATCTACTTCTTCCATTGTGCAGAGCTGATTGAGTTCTGAAATTTTTTTAGACATCTCATCAATGGCCACTTCAATGGGGTTGAGTTCTGTGCTTGTTTGGCTTACAACTTGTATTCTCTTCTTCACATATGGAAAGAAATGACTAGCTGCACTCAAGAACAAAAGAGAAACATGTAAGGAGAATTTTCTGAATGTATGGAATAGAAACCATATTGATCTTGCATATATACAATTAAAACACATCCACATCATACAATGCGTATTCAGTGGTGTAGATATCCAGTTACAGAGCCAGAGGTTGGAAGTTTGATTCCCCACTGATTCCTTGACAGGGACTGGACTTGATGCTCCCTTTCAACTCTGCAATTCTAAGATGATGATAATGATGATACATAATAAACTTCTAATAGATTTCTAAACGCCTAGACATTAATGCACAAATTCCTTACATGGCTACTTAGGTTTGAATAAGAAGTCAAATCATAAAAGCGGGCATTATTGGTTGATCGATTTTCCACTAAATCAGGAAATGAAGAAACAATATGACTAACTATAAATAAATATCAGAGTAGACTGCAAGACAAAATTGGCATACTTAAAATACTGTAAATGCCCCCTCTTATAGGAACCTTTGTTCAGTTTCTGGGGGGCTTTAATATTTTCTTCCTATTCTCTGCCTGTATCAATATTTACCAGGTGAACACCAAATGACCTTCTGAGTTTTGGTCACAGATTGTGGAATGGCTTTTTGTAATGTAAACACCTGCATCTTGCTATGCCTCTTTCTAAGTGGTCATTGAAAGCAGTTTTGTCTCATCAGTAATACGTTGTAAGCCGCCCAGAGACCTTTGGGTAGTGTGGGTGGCATATAAATTAAATAAATAAAATAAATAAATAAATATGTTGCTTTTCCCACTGCCATGGTTGGTCCTTTTAAAAAATCGACAATTTATGGATAATTTAATTTATTCTGTTGCAAGGTGTATTGAAGTTGTAAACTGCCTTAAGTGTATTTGATGTAGAAAGATGGGATATACATCGTAAGAATGAATGAATGAATGATAAGGAAAGCACTGCATAATGTAATGAAAGTAAAAAAACAAACAAACCCAAACCCCCTAAAGTCAAACATTTCTGAATATGTAGGTTTCCTGAACTTATCTTGTCCTGAGCACCACAGTCAGCAGGCCCAGAATAAACCTTAGGTTACTTCCTGGTATGCTAAATAATGCCGCAAAAGGCATACTTGTCAGAATGGTCCTTCTTTTGCACTGCTCTTCTACTCCTCCATGCTTCTTTCCTGATAGTGTGAACGGTGTTTCAAATACAAAGTGATTGATATTGTGGTGCATTTCAAAGTCAGTCTTTCGTTCCTCAGCTTCTTTCTCATCAAAGAAGGGTGTGACATAGGTCACTTGGATGTAAGCATATTTTGGATCCAGGTCCTTAGGGTTAACCTGTATAAATATAGTGAATTGAATAAAGCAGATAGAATCTGAATAAGGAATATAATTGAACATGAATTAAAGACAGCAAAACTGGCAAATGGTTCAGATGAAAAGGAAAGGTGGCTATTTATATATTTCTATTCTCTTTCCAGAGAATAAAAATTCATTCTATGCATTTTATACTCATGTGTCTCCACAGAGGGGAAAAAAATGAAAAGTTCTCAAAGCACAGAAGTAGAAGAACACAGATACATAAGGAAGAATTTCTTTACGGTCACTCCACAAAGATTAAATCATTTCACTTGGAAGTGTGGCATACAAAATGCATATATCACTGAAGCATAGGCCAAGAACTTTCTATCTGTACTTGAATTTACTGAACTAGTTTATGGCACGAAATAATAAATGAGTTGCATCATTTCCCATGTTATCATATGTCAAGGACTTTTTTAAAATGTGTCTATTTTCTAGTTATTAATACCAATTTCCTAAAAAGAAAAATGTATAGGTATTATTATTATTCAGGAACACCAGGCTAAGTCAATCAAGATTATAAAAACAGTGACTGGTATCATATAACTGATACAAGTTTAACCAAAAACCTAAGTATCTGTTAAATATCAGTGCACTATGCATGCTGTTCCTAATATTGCAATTGTTTTGTATCTCTGATGGTGTTATTTTTGAGATCTGCAACTGTTGATTAGAGATGGGGACGACTCACCATTTTGGCAAGTCGTCCCGCTTTGTGAGTCGTCAAAAGTTGACGACTCACGAAGCACGAAGTTGCCCCCATGAAGTGATGAATAACGAATATATTCATCAATTTGTGGGGGGAGTTATTTTTTAAAAAACACATTCCCCCATCCCCACTGACAACCCTTTCCTCTTTTTTTAAAAAAAAAACCCCTAAACCACCATTCTGCCTAGCGGCTGCTGATCAACTAAACAAGACCTCAGCAGTGGCAATTAAGGTAGGGATGTGTCGGTGGGGAGGGCTAAAGTAGGGAAAGGAAGGGGGTGGGGGTAGGCTATTAGTGTGTGTGGCTGCCTTTCAGTTAATCAGCGGCCGATAGGCAGAATGGTTGTTGTTGTTTTTAAATATGAAGGACGAATAAAAATGGGCAAATATTCATCCCTTCGTATTCGTTGGGGGTCTCTGGAACACACGGATATGAAGGGATGAATATTTAACAAATCAGCTATTTTTGTTAAAAAAGCCGATCAGTTTTTATATTCATCCCCATCTCTACTTATAATACTGTGTTGAATTTCTTGATATTGTTCCCAAAGTCCCAATGACTACAAGGACCACTGAAGTGTGTTTCATCTGCAAGTGAGATGTTTTGATTGCGAGGTCTCTGTACTTTGTTAGTTTTTCCAATTCTTTATTTTCAGCTCTAGCATCCCTTGGAACTGCTATGTCAATGATCCAGACATTTCTTCATTCTATTACTACTAAGTCTGGTGTATTCAAGGCATCTATTAGTTTGGATCTGGAAATCCCTCTACCTGATGATGATGACTGACACAAGTGGAAAGTAATAGCAGGCATAATGGAGGGGTCTTTGGAAAATAATTGCTTAGTTATCAGCAAACTGTGGAGGGGGAAATAAGGCTGCAATCTTCAGAATGCAGACAGACTGGCCAACTGTTTTCTTTATTTAATTTAATACACAATTGTATTAAAGGCAAAACCTTTAATACAAGACAAAAATGAAAATAAAAGAACAAATAAAACAGACAAAAACATTGTGGCACCTTAATAATTGTTACATTTTAAGATGAGCTTTTGTGGATAAAATCCACTTCCTCAGACATGAAAGTTCACCTTAAAACATAACAGTTAGTTTTTGAGGTGCCATAATGGTTTTATCTTTTTAATTTATTCTTTTCATTTTTCTTTTGTTTTGCCTATAGTGCTTACACAAACTAACACAGCTAGTTAATTTCCACATATGACACTACATAATTGCAACATGAGTCGGATAGGACTTAATGACTAAACAAAAAAAAAATAAGACTAAGCAAGGCTTTGTCTATCATCAGATAGCAGACATTCACACTTTTATTTAAATGTGACAATCTGCTGCATGCTAACAGAACACAATATTTTGATTACAAAGGTTTACTAGAATTCAAAATGTTTGTGAATCCAGAATGAGCAAGTACAACCCACCAGCAATTTCTCCGTTGCAAATCACCTTGAAATAAGAGGGAGCTAGGTAAGAATATCAATATACTCTCATACATGTTTCATTTGTTTCGACTGAGTCTGCACAGCAGAACATATCTACAATTGCTTGTGCTCAAAGTGTGGTGGTATTCACCGTTTTCATTCTTTTTTTCTTCATACCTTGTTGGAATCTTGGATAATTTTCACATTATCAGCTCCAAATTTATCTGCATAAAGTTTCAGCAGTCTCTGGGAAATTTCAGACAGGCCTGTTAATTTGGGCTCCTTGTAGATGTATTCTTTACCCTCCTCTTCTTCAAAAAAACCCTGTTCAAAACACAAAGATAAGCATTCGAGTAACTTACCTGTAATCATCAGGTGACAATTCACATAATTCACATTACAATGTGGATGGAAAGTGTACATATCTAATTGCTTAGGTGTTAAAAAAAAGGCACCCGGCTTATCAGAATGCTGCAGCTTCTGCATGATGAAGGAATGGAATGCATTAAAACCAAACTATATATTAGCACAGGATGGATCGGAGCTTTTACCAGCAGGACAAAACATCGTTGGAAAGCAAAGAATTAGTCAAAGAATTAGATTGATATGCTGGGGCCAGTACACCACCATGTGGTAGTTATTGGTACAGGAGATGAGAAACAGTAAATAATACTAAAAATCAAGTCTTGATTTTGGTTTAATGAAACAAATACAATTCTCAGTCACAGCTACAGCTTGGGAAGGAAGATAAAGATCTGTAGATTAAAATAGCACACTATGCTATAGAAGCAAATTACAACTCTCCCGCTGATTTAATTCAACCAAGCAGAATTTACAGTCATAAGGGAGAAGATAAAATCCACATAACACAGTAACACAGTGGGAATTCTATCTGAATAAATATACATAGGACAAGGCTGTGTGGTACATCCTTACTGATTACGTGCAAATTCGTTCTAAATACATGGACCAATATTTTGAGCAGAAGGGCAATCATACAAGTCTGTCACCAACCTCAAGCAGGTCCCCCTCTCCTCTGGTCAGACAACTGATCTCACAAACAGTGAGAGACCATGCATGCAAACAGAAGGCTTGTAGAAGTGGGAAGAATGCGTGATGCTTTTGCCTTCCAGCTCCTCATTACCTGAAGAGGGCTCTGGGCATGACTTCCCGATTTTATTTATTTTATTTTTTATTTTGTATCCAGTGGTAGATCTCCCTAAGCAGGAAACGCTTCTGTTTACACGAGATGGAGTACATCATCTATCTCATCTTTTCAGCCACTTACCCCTGTACCACCACCCCTGAAAAGAAGTTTCTGAGAATTAGTGGACCTTTGAAATGGAATAAGATGCAGCAACACTGAACTGCAGTTTGGGAAAAATCAGATATTCCAACTTGAGCAAGTAAAAACCCTTTCCACTAAGAAACAAACACTACACAGTACAATAATAGAGTACGCTACAGGGTATAATACTATAGACTTCAAAACAATGTTGCACATTTGGCTTCAGTCCAATAATCAAAGAAAACAAACACTGGCTGTTATTATTTTGCTTAAAGCCATATTGTAATTTCTTTCTCTTTCAGTTCCTAGAGCAACTTATCACATAACCCTTACACTCTAGTCTTACTCTTTTCCTCTTCCTTCTTCTTTGGTCTTACACGTTGTTCTGATGTCTGTCCCTTCCATGTAGGAATGTTAAGGGACTCGAGATGCTACCGGAGACTGCTTACCTCCCCGTTGTTTCCCACGTGACATACTTCCTTTATGCCAACTTTGGCTGAGGGAAGGGTGAGGAGGGTTGTGATAATGCATGATAATGTCATGCTCCTTTTCCAGTTTGTTGTTATGTTATCATAGCTTCAGAGAACACAGACCATGAGTCAAACAAAGCAAATGTATCATGAGCCCAAAACCTAACAGTCGAGTCAAAAACTCATACTGGAGATATACTCAGATTAAGCATAAATGAGTACGATTTAGCTGTGATGTTATGAAGACAAGACTCCAATAGTAGAGTGGGGGAAGCAGCTTGGCAGGCTGGGAGTACAAATGAAGACCTGGCCAGGAAGAACATGTGCCCTTGTGCTGATGGAGACACCCACTAGGAACATGTGAAATCGGTCCTCGCAGCCCCCCAAAAAGAATACACCCAACAAAATTCCACAACATAATAGCAAACCAAACGCCCAAAACCACAAAGATATGAAATCATTCCATAAAATCTTAGTATCTTGTGTCGTGCATGGTCAATTTAGCAGTTTACAACCTTCCTGGGAAAGAGCCCCACAAAAGACGGAACTGTAAATACTGCTCCATGAAATAAAAATTCAAGATTTTTCCTCCTCCATAACCAAACAACACCCTGGAATCTGGAAATGCCAGTGAAATTGACATAAGAATGTTTCACACCTAGATGTCTATATTCCAGTAAAAGCTATTGGGCAACTGAAATGTTGAAGCAGAGATGGCATGCTAGAGAGAAACAGCTTTCAAAAGGAGCATAAGAACATGTGGCCCAGACTACAAATGTGACCCAGCTCTGCATTTCAGCTAACCATCAAGGAAATCTCTACCAAAAGAAATACTACCGGCACAGAATGTTTTGAAACAGGCAGTGCCCATTGCCTCTTTATACTCTGTGTACAGACGATAGTTTCAGTGGCTTTGTAATGTCTTGGCAGATAATTGTGTAGGATAGACTGGATGGAGTGCTCAAGTCTGGATGGAGCACTCAACTGGTAATTGCCATTCAACAACTTGAAGGTTAGTTGAAGGTTCTGATTCTACATTCATAAAAAATTCTTGTACATGTGTGCTCAGAAGTAAGTCAGCTGGACTTTCACCCAGGTCAGTTGTTATGGGAATTATCTTTCAACAGCTTGGAATCCACCTTCCCTTGTAAAATCCCCCTCTACTCTACATTCAGGATCTGAAACCATTCATCATACTGTATTCCTCTGCCAAATGAAATGCAGATGTCAGGGGAGATGGAGCCAGCACAGAATGTTTTGAAACAGACAGTGCCCAGTTGTTAGTGTCAACCAGAGTAAATCCACTGGATGCACACGGCTTGTTAAAATTTACATGAATTTGGTTATTTCAATGGGTCTACTGTAGTTGGGAGTAATAACTGGATTTAGTCCAGAGCTTTTTCAGCTCTACTAATCCTTCAGAACGCTTTGCCAAGAAAAGCACACCTGCTCCTAAGATTAAGTGTTTTCTATCGCTTAGTAAGGATGTATCTTTTTTTAGCTATACTTTGGTGGTGAGTAATTGCTGTCTTTTGTGACAGTAAGTGAATTTTGCCCCTCGTTTATCCACCCATCCACAATATATTGCTTTTTCTTGTTTTTATAAGCATGTGTTTATTTGGTCAGTTTAAAGAAGGGAAACATAGTATGAATTTTTTTAAAGAATAAAATAATACAGACTGGTTTATATCTAGAGAGTCTATTTGCATTCGGAGGCTATTGGGATACTCTGGAGATTGAAAGATTTTAGTTAATTTTTTCAGACTGCCTGGAGCCTCATGACAATCTCCTTTGAAGATTTGGAAATTAGGTTGGGATCCCAGTTTTAAAAAAAACATTGGTTTGTAACAAAGCCAGCTAAAAATGGCCCCAGATTTATTTTCATGCCCTGCTGAATCTTCCTTCCTTTTTTTCTTTTTACAAAATTCTTAAGCTTTTACAGGAAGGATCTTCATTTTGGCAGACATTTTGTTTCTTTTCATAAGTCTTTATGTGAGGTAGTGAGTTGTACACTGTTGCTTTGCAGGAAATGGGCCTTCTGAAGGTGCTTTTAAGAAGCCGCTTTTTGAAAACTGTCATTATATTCCCAACACCCTTAGTCTATTAGACTGTACCCATCATGTTGAATATGAATAATATTCTGTTTTGCCTATTACTGAGACTTGTTTATGAATTACAGAATTTACCACAGAGTCTTATTTGAGTCCTTGTAATTTAGAATGTTGTATTTCATAGGAATGTTCATGAATATAGAATTATAGCCCTCGTGGCTATTCCATGAAATATATTCTTTGCTCAGAAACAGTTAAGGCACAATTTCTGTTCATATACACCTGAATACTAAGTAGGTCACATAATAGCAGCCTGCCTTTTTTTTGCGCTGTTAAATTATTATATTTCCTCCCATTAAATCTAATAAGAACATATAAAAATGTTAAACTCAAGAAACGTCTGCAATTAAGGGGAAGGATTGATTTTTTAAAATTATTCAGATTAGTTCTTATGACGGTTTTCAAACTTAAGTGTGCAGTCGTTTGCATGCATTCAGACTCATTCAGTGAAAAATTATTGTTAAAGAGAATCAGTTCCTGATATACAGCATTATCAAGGTAGGAGAACTCACAGTCTCCCATGCTTTATTGAGGTATTTGATGATCTGCTTTAAGTAAACATGCTGAGGTCTGTCTTCTCCATTATTGTTCCCCATGACTCTTTGCCATCACTCAAGAGCCTGAACATGAGAGCCTCTTTTGTGCATGGAAGAATTACCCTGCTCACACTGTGGTCTGCTCAGGGTGTTGCTTAGTCACTGGCTTTAGCCCATAATGAGATTTTCTTGAAGACAGGAAGCATGCCAAGTCTTATGCATGTTCGCATCTAATTGGCATTGGACCATCTGCCCTGCTTCAAGAGCAATCTGTATTTTCCTCTGGATTCTAAAATGACTCAATTATTCTATGATTCTATGAACACTGGATCCTTAGGAAGGCAAAGAGCTGTTATACACACCTTGACCTTTAAAGTGTTTCACTGCCTCTGCTGAGAAACGTGAACAATGACAACATGGGCATTAGTGAAAGAACTGAGTTTGTGATATCACTAGGACTTGAACAGAGCAGAATTTCTTTTCCTGAAAACCAAAAGTGGGAAGCCCTTACATGAAGCTCTCTCACCTTCTCATCAATCTTTTTCAACAAACCAAGGATGCTGCTGTAATCTTGATAAACCTCACTACCATTTATTTTAATCACCAGATGTTAAATGAAGACATATTTAACACTGTGTTGAGTCTGATGTTTACTCCCAGAGGCCAAAGAAACAAAAATTCCTAGTTCAAAGCATTGGTCTCATCATTCCTGCAGTTAAACACTTTCTTCCAGGGACTTATTCAGATACGGAATTTATTCAGCAGTGACAATACTGATATTTTCCCTGTCAACCTTGTTGAGTTCTGTTGGCCAACCTAAGTGAAAAAGACATTGATTCCTTTTACAGAGAAGCAGTTTACTGGGATAGTGTTTTAATTATCTGTTTTAACTGGAGCTCAGATTGCTATATATGTATATGAACATTTAGCTTCAATGCCAGAGTGTATCAGTTGTTTTCTGGAATGGGTTCATTACGGCACAGGTCTTTAGCAGTCTTCCTCTATACATCGGCCTACGCTGGAGTACTGTAGGAATGGTAGTCCAGCCCTAATGGGGAAAGTGCCAGTTACACTCTGTCAGAGTCTGATCACCTGAACATTTGAGGAACTGCAAGGAGATAGGCTTGTAATAAATAATAGTAACTATTCACAGCAAACAGATTCCAACTCACAATGACCTACCCATAACTTTCTACATACAAAAGTCTCCCAAATGGTTTTCCAGTCCCTTCCTTGCTAGGCAATCTGTGACTATGCAGCTTACCTAAGGCTGCAAAGGTGGCAGGGCATTTAACTGCATCAGCCATATACACTCCTGGTGATATCAAGTGGACCCTCTTCATTTGCCCATATATAACCAGTGTTTTGGTGGGCATTTTTGTGTTATGAACTTATGGCTTGAACCTGCTTCCACTGGTAATGGGAACAGATTTTAGCCCCAATACAGCATAGAAATGGATTTGTTTGTTTGTTTGTTTTTGGCAGTTTAGGAGAGCAGGACAAAATAATTAGTCTTGCTAGATGCAGCGGAGCGTAAAAACAAGCAAAAGCAATGTCATTTCACCTTTCACACTGGATATTAAGAAGCAGTTGGAGTTAACGTTAACTTGGACCATACAGGGAGGAGAATGAGTAAGAAGAATTAAATGAAAAAGCATGCAAAAGAATAGACAACTTACCACAGCCTTGAATAAGATCAAAAGAAGAAAAGAGCAGATTTTTGCATTAAAACCTAATTAGCAGACAGGATGATTCAGACCAATCTGTTCTTTATCTGTATTTTTAAAAGGAGTAAAGGGAACTCTTCACCTTTAGAGAGTACGCTTGTAATCCAGCATCTTGTGCAGTGAAGGCAAGCATAAAATATACCAAAGTAAACATGCAGAAATAGTTTAGGTGATGCAAGATCTATCTAAAGCATAGTATAAAGAATCAGAGGCAAGCTAGAAAGCAAAGCCAGAAAGTCTATGAAAAATACAACTAAGAAAGAAATATGGTTCTTAGATAAATTAGAAAAATAAGGCACAAGAGTTTAAATTATTTTGCAATATATGTTTAGACACTACATATATCCTGTACCACTGGATAAATATTGCATTTGAACTATTTTATAACCATTGCTGCAGCATCTGACTAACAGAAAAGATAACATATATTTTCCATCTCCAGGTAGCTAATGTTGAGACAGGTTGTTATGTTTCTTCAGGGTGCAGTAGAGAAGCTGGTACAGCTTCCACATCATGAGGTGGTTCTTATACTCTGCATGAATACTCAAGTCTATTAAAGGACCTCCGTTTACCTAAAAGTTGTTAGCAAATGCCAATCACATTCCCATAATTATTCAGATAAACATACATCTGAAAATACTAGCTGCAAAAAAATGGTGCTGCTGGAAAGACGGGAACATTACAGCAGAAACGTATGTCTTAATTTTATACACATTTATTTTGAAGCCATCTGATGTCATTCAGTGGCCCAAATCCAATTGGTAATCCTCACTAGAGTAGACTCACTGAAGCAATGGGATTTTCATATGTTGATTTACTAGTCAGAAATTGATGCAATAAGTCTAGTTTAGTAGGAACAATGGATTGAGTTCAACAAAGTCATTTCCAATTAAGCAGAGAAGCTAAAAGTGAGGAAAAACACCCCATGCCTTTACAGCTTGTCTATACTGCTTTTGGACCAATTAGAAATTACTGAAGAATGCAAACTAACATTCAGCTTTAAAAACTTTACCACTAGTACAGCCCTGAGAAAACTCCAGTCCACTATAAAGACCGCTGATGCTCTCTGTTGCTATATTTTCCTCAGAAGTAAGAGTTCCAGAATTGTTTCTGGAAAAGTATAGAGCACCAGTAAGCTCTGCCACCCAGAGACCTTTGGGGAGAGTGGGCGGCATATAAGTTGAATAAATAAAAACCTCTTAGAAGTCACTCACCTGTCCATAAAATGCCACACGGTAGTATCGTCCAAACAAGCGCTTCTCTGAATTCACTACTTCTGCCACTTTTAGGTAAGATCTGTGGATGTCATAGTATAACTCTGACAGCCTCTGAGGTAGCAAAATGAAAGAACGTTCACATGAAAGTTTCAAAGAAACTTACAACACACAGATTTTTCCTGGGGTTAGGGAGGGTCTGGGGAATGACTGATAGAAAAGACTTTAGTCGAAGCGCGATCGTCATTATGAGCAAATGTGTCAGTCTTGTATCAGTTCGGAGTAACACAAGCATGTCTCAGAGGTGGAGTTTTCCTCTATAGCAGGGGGAAGTGGGGAAACTCTATTTTTTGTACCCATTTACTGTTGTTGCATATTTCAAAATGAAAATGTGTGCTTCGTATATAGTGATATAACAATAACTGTGTGCTGTCAAGGCAATTCTGACTCATGGTGACACTTTTCAGGGTTTTCTAGGTAGAGTGCCATTCCCTTCTTCTCGGACTGTGCAGCTTGTCCAAGGCCGAACATGCTGGCTCTTCTCCCGGGAGGTACAATGGGAAATTGAAAACCCATCCTTTGACTCTGGTGCCAGACACTTAACTCACTAAGCTATCCAGCCAGCAGTTCTGTGATATAGGATAAGTATATTTCAGTGATCTGGAAAAATCAGAACCTGGAGCCTAATGGTGCTAATTCACTTATAAATGCACTTATATTGTAAATTGACTGATTTTAAAAGCCCGTGTAGCCCCCTCAACCAATATACAACACTGTTTATTACTGGATTAAAATTTGTCCCAAGAGGATGCACACACTGATTAAAAAACCACATGGCTTTAAACCTTCAGACATCCTGATCCAGCTCCCGATTCATTTCAATAGCATAACCTTGAGCCCTAACACAGTTTTTGGGCAAGTAGTTACGCAACTATTTGCACAAGCACTTGAGTGAGAGCTTAAATTACTGCCATGGCACTAACAGAGTTTTTAATGTTGCATTTAGGCTATCATGACCATCTAAGCAATGACAAATACTTCCTAGGGTCAAGATTATATCTTAGTTCTTGATTGCCTTACCTTGAAATCCCTCTGTTTCTCAAACACTGCAATGATTGGCTTAATAACTTCAGCAATGAGTTCATATCTCTCGGATTTCCACAGATAGTCAACACACAATTCCAGCTGTTCCACAAGGATATTCTGCAAATTCGTATAAAATAAAATAAAACAGTCAACCCTCGACTTACAAACGGCCCTAGTTACAAACATTTCGACTTAAAAACCACTCTGATAGAAAAATATTGACTCAACTTACAAACTTAGATTCGAGTTGCAAACTGAAAAACAAACAAACATGAAGGAGGTGGGGAAAGCGCGAAATTTGAACTTTCAGTTAACCGTTGGCCAGTGAAGAGGGTGCCTGTCTGCTTCCTCGCTCTTCCCAGCATTTAGAGAATGGATTTGGAGGCAGTCTTCAGACCGTCTGGTACTGCCTGGTATTGCCTGGTACAGTGCTGTACAGACTGTATTTTTATTTTTTGGCTTTTAATTTTTTTTTTTGATTTTTGGATTTTAAAAGGTGTTCCCTCCCTCCTTTGCTGCCCCCTTTTTCCTCAAAAGGTGCTTGTATTGGCTTGTCTTGATTGAAAAGGTGCTTTTCAAGGTGATCTGTTGTCTGAAAGGTGCTTGGTTTTTCCCAGAAGGTGCTTGTCTTGGCTGAAAAGTTGCTTTTCAAGGTGTTCTGTTGAAAAGGTGTCTGTTCACGCCTTCCCTCGCTCTTTTCTTTCCTCTTTTTTTAGCCTAAGTCATCTTAGGTTAAAAGGAAAAAAAAATTCTGGCCCTAGTGGTAGGGACGGATTAACTGCCTTTGCATTAGTTCCTATGGAAACTAATGATTCGAGTTACAAACCACCCCTCGACCTAAGAACCCAAAACAGCCGGAACAGATTAATTAGTTTTCAGTGCATTCCTATGGGAAATGCTGATTCGACTTACGAACTTTTTGACTTACAAACTTCCTTCCGGAACGGATTAAGTTTGTAAGTCGAGAGTTGACTGTATGAAGTTTCTGTTAAAAGTAGCTATTAATAATGTTGATATAGCGGAGGCCAAAGACCTGACTTAAGAAAATGTTAAAGCATATGTCTAAGAACAGCTTTGGAAATATATTTACATATTCTACCTGTTTTGTTTTGTTTTTGGTAGATTAAGTAATAGAAAATAGTGCAATATGCATCTTCATGTGTGTTACTTGACTCTACATGGTGATGCAAGTGGATTTCTGCTAGACCACATCAGCAGCTCAATGCTGTTTTGTTTTACAGGATAATAACTAAGACATCTATCAAAAGTAAGTGGTTTCAGAACACAGAACATATTTTTAAAAGCTGGTTCCACCACTGAAAAGCTAGAACACAGGGAAGCAAAACACTGAGCCACAGCTGTTTATCAATACTTACTGACATTTCTCAAGTGCTTATGTTTTTATAAAATTCTAAGTAAGATGCAAGCAAAATTACGTTCCTGAGTCAGTTTCTTGAAGCGAGTATATTTCCACCAAGGGTGGAAAGCCATGAAGGGTCAGCAGCACCTAATTCATACTGGTAGGGTATTCCATGGAATGGCAATGGAACACTAAAACCCTAGCTGTTAGGGTTTTGTCATAAATTTGTGTTACATAGCCTCTGTTGAAATAAATGGGATCTATGTGAGAAATGGGACATGGTGGCACTGTGGGTTAAACTGCAGAAGCCTCTGTGCTGCAAGGTCAGAAGACCTGCAGTTGTAAGATCGAATCTATGCAATGGAGTGAGCTCCTGTCACTTGTCCCAGCTCCTGCCAACCTAGCAGTTCGAAAGCATGCAAAATGCAAAAATGTGAGTAGATAAAAATAGGTACCACCTCGCCATTCTGTGTCAAGTCACGCTGGCCATATGACCATGGAAGATTGTCTTTGGACAAATGCTAGCTCTATTGGTTGGAAACATCCAACCAGAGATGAGCACCACCCCTAGATTTGGACACAACTGGACAAATTGTTAAGGGGAACCTTTACCTTATGTGAAAAATGCTCCAAATCTAACAGACTACACCCTTCAGAGTGTACTAGGAGGTACTTTTCTGGGTTCAGGTGACTGTGTATTTATTTATCCAGCAGTAACCAATCATTCCTTCCAGCCTTTGAATATAAAGAGAGCCTCACATTTTTGCTTAGTGTTTTCTCTTTCCTTGGTTGTTTGTTTGCTTTCGATCTGGTCAGTTGGTTGCTAAGTAAGTGTACAGCATTTGTGCAGTATAAGAGCAGCACCCCAAGTCTGTAATTTCAAACAACTGTACGTAAAGAAATGTTTTTTTTATAATTTCTCCTACAAATGTTGCAGAGTGGGTTATTGAGACTTAAGTGCCAGTTAATGAGGAAGGTGTGGACTCTGGGGAACTTGTTGCTATTCTCCTCTGTGGATCTCTGTATTTTTACTGTGAACCAAAAATACTCTGGGAAACTTGTTGCTATTCTCCTCTGTGGATCTGTATTTTTACTGTGAACCAAAAATAAATTTTACCAGAAATCCAAAACATTATTAATGTTAAGAAAATGTGCCTGGAATCAGACTAAGAAAGATAACAATGCTGACCTCATTATATGGTGTATCTTGCATTCCAGAGTCTTCTTTCATAGCTCCTTCTTCTTTAATATTAGGTGTAATATTGAGGAAAGCTGGCCATCCCATGGAAAACAAGCCTTTTTGAAAGGAGAGAGAGTCTTATGAGTGCTTCCACAACAATTGCTTGGAGTAATTACTGACTGGTTGGGTAGGAATTTAAGAAAAAATATTGTGTGGATAATTGCTTTTTCACAGCCCAAAGAATGAGTAGAACAAACTTAATGAACTGAATCTATGATAGGTTATTATAAATCTCATTCAATTCACTAAGCTACTTGCCAAGCTGTGGATAGCTATAATTTGATGACTCTGGCCAAGAATATACATGTCCAAAAACATTATTTAAAAATTCTCAGTCAGTCCAAAATAATTGTGAGGATGATGTAGCAAGGCATCTATGATTTGGAACATTTGCAAATATAAGATTTTCTTTGTAAGCAAAAACCTATCAACAGAATGAAGCATATATAATGAAGCACACTGCGTTCAGTCTGTAGTTATGAAAATAAGAATGTATTTATTAGAGATACATAAGCTCTCCAAAGCCACATCTGGAATGAGCCTGACTCAGATTCATTTGAATTAATTTAAAATCTTTTTCACATTGCAACAAAAACTAATTTCGGCTTGGACATAATGTGACTTGAGAGACATCACTTTCATTTGGTGTGGGGATGAAATGGCAAGCGGGGTCTTGTCCAAACTGGACTTCAGGATCAACACCTAGGTTCAAGCGAGAACTCCTGTCACCCCAATGACTAAATTTGACCTCAGATAATTTTTCTGAGATTGTACTCCAGTGGAAAAAGGCATATTTTATCTTGAATCTTTTGAGCCCCTAAAGATCTGCTCCAGAGGCCTGTGGGAACTCTGAAGAAGTATAAGAGACTAAATGAGACCAGAGAAACAGTTGCAAATTGTCTCTTCTTCCTTCTGCCCATGGAATCTTCCACTAATGATCTGTCCAGGCATGAATAAAACAAGACCTTCTCTTTATAGATTCTTAGTTAGGATCTAAGCCTATGTTTACCCAAGCTAATAAATCAGGATTACTTTTGCCACTGTTTCACTTACTGATGTCGGCATGCTGATTCAGCTTGATAATTTCCCAAATGGTATCCTCAAAAGTGCCCCTTGTAGAGGAACCAAACCTGCTTCCAAAGGTTAGCTTTTAATCACATGAGGAGTTTTCCTTGGAGCAACCCTTGTCCCAAAATTGCATATAGTACTATAGGTTCTTAAAATGTCTGACTGAAAAATACAGTCTGACAGGAATATAAACACCTAGTATAAAAATATAGAAGTTCACCATCATATTCCCCCTTTCCTTTTTGTACATCTGCTCTTTCCCACAACTGGAGCTGGTTGGCACTTTGAATTCTACTGTCCGTCTCATAGTCAGACATGGTTAGAACACTCACTTCCTCCAGTGTGAGTTGTTAGTAAGACATTACTATCAGAGAGCTCAGCATCCTCCAGGAGCAAACGAGAAGGACAAATCTTTTCCACTTTCCAGTAACCTATGACAGTGTGAGATGTTATTAGCATTCTGTTATCTGTATGTGTTAATACATGCATATTTAATGAAATACACTAAGAGATGAAATATAAACATTTTCATACAATATACTGTACAAGGTTGTTGAAACCATGGGCTAAATCCAGTTTTTAGTCTCAAACCCACTCAATGAATAGGACTTGTTAAGTCAGCACTTATGTGAGAGTGCAATCAGACAGCAAGAAAGGTACACATTTGATTGCACCTGAAAAGATTGCCCTCAAAGCAACTCATTTGTCTGTTGGAGCACATATTAGGGTCAGCCTGGAGCACTATCCCCTATACATAGCGTAATTGCTGGTAAATAGCTCACACAAGACTATGCCATAAGTGGTCCAGAATGTGAGCTTTATGCCTATATGATCACACTCTAAGTTTCATTAATTCAGGTGGTCTCCTCTAGTCAGGACTAACAAGTGGCTTTAGCCCTAATAATTTTACTTGTCATCATATTGACAGAAAACATTCAAGATCAAAGAAGCTTCAAGGATAATTACAAATGAACATGAACCTCATCATAAAGAAGTAGGTCATTTACAATCTGTGCTCATGTTTTACTGTTTTCTACATTAGTGATACTCTTTGAATATATTTCTTACCCTTTCGTTTCAGGTATTCGGCAATAAGGGCAGCTATATGGATATAACACATGGCAGCCTGCAACAAGAAATTACATGCAATCATTGCCAGATAGCTGCAAAAAAAGGTGAACAAATTTTGCTTGACTGATAATTGAGAATGGTGGTTTGTGTAAGACAAGGAATTGACAATTCTTTGAAGTAAGCACTAGCTGAAGTTGTCAAGACATTTGCCTAAAAGGGCCCAATATAAGTTAAGTCTGAATATGAGGATTTGTCCTGTACAGGCTTCTGTTTTAGTCACATGCTTGGAAATGTAGAAATTTCATTTCATTTCACATGCTTTGGAAAGAAAGGATTAAAGCACTTGGGGGGTCTGATGGAGAAGAATACACATAATAGTCAACAACAAGAAAAATGCTTGCACTTTTTGCTGCTTGGAATACAATGGAATGTTATAGCTGAATAAACTCCAGAAATTTGGACATATTTTGGAGGGTATGTGTATGGGATACACTACATACAGAATATCCCACTGAAGTACAGAAGAGATATCCAGATGTACCCTTACCACCTCTGTGCTCATGGCCAAACTTGTACAGGTGAGCAGGCACTGAAGAGTCCTTTTTGTCTGAAGGTGTGATCAAACAACAATAAAGGGCAGTGTCTGATCCCACTGGAAAAGTTGCCCTCCTGGGTGTGATCTCCCTTAAAACAACTCTTCCATGGCTCAGGCTCATTCCTGTTTTCCTATAAGTCATCTGATTGATGGATTACATTTCTATCCCACTCACCTAGTGGCAAGCCACTATTCTGGGCAGCTAACAAGAAATGAAAACACACACCCACTCACTAAATGCAAATAGGTTGTACTGGACCATGCAACAAGTGGATGAAAATGTGGACTACAGTCAACCCTCAGTTTAAGAACTTAATCCGTTCCGGAAGGACGTTTGTAAGTTGAAAAGTTTGTAAGTCGAATCAGCATTTCCCATAGGAATGCATTGAAAACCAATTAATCCATTCCGGCTGTTTTTGGTTCTTAAGTCGAGGAGCGGTTTGTAACTCAAATCATTAGTTCCCATAGGAACTAATGCGAAGCCAGTTAATCTCTTTCTACCACTAGAGGCAGAATTTTTTTCTTTTTTTCCCTTTTAACCTAAGATGTCTTAGGTTTAAAAAAAGAGGAGAAAAAAGAGGGAGGGAAGGAGGGAACTGACACCTGTTCAAATTTCGTACTTTCCCTGCCTTCCGCGCTTTTTTCCGTTCGTAACTCAAAGCAAAGTTCGCAAGTCGAGGCAATATTTCCCTATCAGACCAGTTCGAAAGTAAAAATGTTCGTAACTAGGGCCGTTCGTAAGTTGAGGGTTGACTGTACTTCTCCATCTGATCACACTCACAATGTTACTTTAGTTCTTGTGTGTTACCTCTGACAAATCTCCATTTCTAGCATGGATCTTGGCCATGCTCTCCAGCCAGGTCCTACGCAGTTCAGGCGTACTGGCATACGAATTTGCCAAACTGTACTGCAAATCCACTAGCATCTCAGGGTCCTTCTCATGCTCTTTCATCTGGGCTGTAGCCATTAAAACTGTCCGTATGCGTTTAGTCAAGTCTTTCACTTCTGCTGGAAAGTTACTGTTCTTTGGGGAAATAAAAGTAATAAAGTTATTTTACATGCCAGAATCCCTGAGTTGCTTTTAAATTATACATGTCTGTAAGAGATCATGCATTTGATAAGATCTGCTCAGACACTACTCACCACTCTTTCTGTAACTTGCAAGCAGGGGAATACCTAACCTTAACCTTTTCGTTTCTTCCCTTGTACAGAAAGCAATGCACCCTTGAAAAATCAGGGTTCTTGTTCATATAGAGAGTTTCTGTGCAGATGGGAACCTCCCCTTTTTCTAAAAAGCCACTTCCTATGTGAAGAAAGTGGCAATGAAGGGGAGCAGGGCTACATTCTCCCCTGTTCACATGTTAAACAAAGTGAGTGTTTGAGGAATGCCGGAATATAGCAACATACACAATCACTGGATGCACACAAACTACTTTGAAATCCTGTGCTTCTGGGTTCCTGCCTGTGGCCATATGCAGCCACTATCATGGACACAATTATATTTTTGCACAGCACTTTCTCTCTTGCATGTCATCTTTTCTTTTTTGTACTTCTTGTGGGATTAAGAAAAGCTAGATCGTCTGTGTGATAACAGTTTCACATGAGTAATTAGCCATTCAAGGTTTGTGCATAGGATTTTCCAGCAGCTTCCTTCTGACCTACCACATTCCCTGCGGATGTTTGAATTAGCCAAAGGATCCTGATCTGAGGGGATAGGAACACAGACAAAATAATAACAACAATAACCTTTTAAAACTCTGGGAAAATTTTTCCAAGGATAATTGATAAAAACAGATTGAAAAGTTCAGCCACCTGGTCATGGTTTGTCATTGCTACTGGTCTGCGTCCTCCAAAAATGACTTAATTCTGATTAAACTCAATTTATATTATGGATCTGAGTATTATATTTATATGTATTGTGTGCCATCAAGTTGCTAATGGTGACCCTAACAGGTTTTTCAAGATATGTGACATATTTGGCTAGTTAAGTGCCAGTTCCCCAGTCCCATGAGTTTCCATGCAAAAGTGAGGATGTGAACTCAGGCTTCTTGAGTCCTAGTTTTTCACCTTATTCATTATACCACACTGGCTCTAATTATAGTTATACATTGTTCTTCGATCAAGATTATCCTCCAAAGTGACGTGCCACAAGATACAATTTCATCTGAGTCTGGAGTCTTCATACACTAAATGGGCTTGAATTGATGAAGCAGGAGAGGATACCTAGAAGTAATTTTTCAATAGCTACAGAAACACAGGCAGTTTAACACCCCCTTCAGTAACCTGGAACAGATTTACAGATTTTAATGAAATTTTTAATTTCCTCCTGAAGGAATTTCGATGATTGCAGTAGCACTACAGACCAATTTAGCAAAGAGATCAGTATAACCTTACAAGCCATGATGGGGATGTATAATCACCAGGCTTAAAAGGAAGGTCCTTCAAAATGCGAGATGCAGAGGAGTGGTATCAGGAGACAGGCATCTAGTTATCTCTTGTGCTCCCAGAAGCATCCAGTGGGACCCCTGTGAGATACACGAAGCTGGACTAGACGGGCGCTTGGCCTGATTCAGCAGGGCTCTTCTTATGCTCTAATCTGCACTAGGTGCATCAGAATGAGCAGCAAATGCAATCCATTTTCATAATTTAGTTGTGACAGACTTGAGCAAAGGGCCCAGAAAGCAATAGAGGAAAAATTTTTATCTTGAAATCCTTATTCATAAAAATCCCATAATAAATATAAATAACTTCCATAGTTATTTAGGACTTCGAGAATACAACTTCCATAGTCATTAAAAATATAAATAACGTCTTACTTTCATTTGCTTGTCTCCATTAGCAAAGTTATTTGTAATTGCCAGTGAATGCTGAAAACGAGAACCTCCAATTCCAGCATCTGCAATAAGTTGGCTTACAGCTTTGATGAGCTGAAGATGAAGGAAGGGGAAGAAAATGTGTCAGCCCAGGAAAACCAAACTGGCAAGCACTAGCTCCTTGACTGAACCACCAGCATTGATAAGTGAGATGTCATTTAAACTACAGCTCAAATAATCCAAGCAATTGCCTGGGTCTCCATATAGTCTCAAAGAGCCACTTACTAGCTTTCTATAAAAGAAATATCCAGCACTGCATGTTAGCAGGATCAGTCTCTCTGTCCTCTGCTTCAGGCAAAAGATGTTAAGGAGGGGAAGGGACTGGTGGCAAAAAGTTAAAGATCAGATCTCTCTGTGCCAGACAACACCCCCTAAAGCTAGCCTGCTGTCACCTTGTGTCCAGATGGAGACAACGGCACTGCTGAGGTCTGATTGACTTCTTTATCTGCAGTGGGTGGTCATGATCTTTTCCTTCACATCAGAGAGCAAAGTATCTTTACCTGGTCTTGCATATAAGAAGTATAACTTGTGCAAGTGCAGACTGCTAAATTTGTCTGTTCTGCACTATGGCTGGCATTTCCAAGTTAATTATTCTTCAGAATCAGAAATCTCCCCTATTGCTCTCCCCTTTTTAAAGGAAAGCAGGAATTTTTAGGTTCTTCCCCAAAATAACAAGCTTGGAAGAATGAAAAGCCCTATGGGATCATTATACCATCATCATCATAGAACTACAGAGCTGGAAGGTGTCCTGGGAAATTGATCTCCCAGTCTCTGGCTCTACAACCAGATACTTAAACCACTGGGTTATTCAGTATATGATACACATGCACATGTCTGGAGTGAACAGTTAATTGAAACAACACTGTTCACTGTGATGGAGACATTTTTTTCAAGAATATTTTGATTCACCATCATCGGGTTTACTCACCTGCAAATGGGACCTTACAATTGACTTCTGCTTATTAAATTCAAAGTTCTTTCTCATGAAAAAATAAAGCAGAGCAGAAGCTTCCATCTGAGTTGACCGTGACCTGTGATTACAACACTTCAGAATCTCATGGCAGAATGAGCCACATAGATCAGCTTGCCCTTGGAAAAATGCTGAGGGAAACTATGAAGATAAAAATGCATGTGAAGGCCCAATACAGCTTTGATACAAGACAGAGCTTTTATGGCAAACAATCTGTAAGCACTAGAAGTTTAGCACTGTCCTACTGCAGACAATGGACTATATAGATCAGATTCCATTTCATCCTCTCATCCATTACATACTCTCATAGCAGTTTAACATTTAAATTAAAATAAATTCTGCCTATTTTAGTTCGTGTTTTTCTTGGCCCCAGAAATATTCCACTGGTGGCGCTTGTTTATTGTTTGAATATTTAATTCAAGGAACAGGCATATCAGACAAGGGCTTGTTTTAATTTTGCAAAATAATGGCCTGTAAAAACCTACATTCACATGTAGTATCCATGCATGAACAGGTATGAAGGATGGGGAAGATCAGTGCACTACAGGTAAAAGAAACATAGATAAGACTGCAGTGCAAAATAATTCTTGCAGAAAAACCAGAAACTTTGTTCCAGGCATTTCTCAAAATCCTTCTCTTCTGATTTCTGAAGTTGTCAATACATGGCGTGTACAAATATTTATTGTCTGATGACAGTATGTGATTGTATTTGATTTTAGTATTTGTTATTTGCAGAATCTGACAAGTTAGCAAGAATTGATTACTGTTCAAGTATTTGGCAAAACATGAAATGCAATAATTGATTTTGGCAGCTTTCTATATCCTTCTTGAAACATATTTAATATACTTTTTTTGTAACTGGCCACATTGAACAGCAATGACATATACACCAATTGGTAAACGGCATTTGGTAAAAACCAAGCAAACAACAGCATTCATGTTCCAATGTCAAATTTTGAATTAAAAGACAAAACTGCTGTATGGAACATTCTTACATTTTATTTTGTTAGAGTCTCTTTGGTGCCATTTCAGCACCAAATATTTTGCCAGACATGATTCTAAGCTGTTTCTCATAGAAATGCATATTTCGTATTACAAACGATGGGGACTTACCTTACTCACAAACAATCTTAGAGCAGCAAAAACATGCCTGAGGGCTGCTGTGGAATGATTGATTTGTAAAAACAGCAGGTAGGTATCAAAGACTTTCTTCATCAGTGTATTCTGGCAATCTGATTGTTGCAGTTGTCTCTGAAATGTTCACAAACAACAAGTTTCAGCCTTTTAAAGCTGCCTGTCTTTCTTTTGTTTTTGTTTTTCATGCAGTTGTCTCTGAAATGTTCACAAACAAACAAGTTTCAGCCTTTTAAAGCTGTCTGTCTTTCTTTTGTTTTTCGCCTCAATTTCTCTTGTCCAAATGCTCACACCATGTTTTAATGGAATTAACAATGACTTTTCTTTCTTGCTGCTTTATGCCAGGAACTCCCAGAGCGCTTATCTTATACCACATATTTTTCTTTCTTCAACGGCTATATATTCTCTAATTTTTTTGGCACAATGGCTCTAGCAAAGGACCATACTTCAGTGTTGGAACGTATACTCTAGGTAGTCCAGAATTCAGTTCCCAGGGCTTCTGTGGAGGACCTATGTCTCAGACCCTTCACAACTGCTTCCAAGCAGAGTAGACAACACTAAGTAAGATGCAGAAATGGCCTGACATGGTATAAAACATCTGTCTATGCCCCTAACTACACTTAAGTGAATGCCACATTCTGTCTTCATTTGTTTCCATCTTCCTTGCTTTCCTATGCAATAGGGGCACCTACATGTCCTTACTCAATTGAGGTATTTATTTTCAGTACCCAGATACATTTCACTCACAGTTTGTAATAAAAAAATGGAACTCTTTAATTGGCATCAGTCTACCACTGATGATGACAACATTCCTGTTGCACAGGCAGAGAAATGGAGCAAGATATTCACCTATATGAATCCTTCTAATCTACTTGTATTCTTCAGCTCTCTAGAACTGTACAACTTAAATATTCCAGTGGTTTTCTTTTCTTAGATCAGAGCTGGGGACATTCTGGTCTTCTAAATCAGCCATGGCACATTTGAAGAAGGCCACAAACTGAAAAATGTGAGAGGTTTCTGAAAAATAGCTGTTTGTGTTGTATCCTTGTTTGACAGCGGGGCCCAGAACCTGAGAAGTACACCTTAAAAAGGCCATGACCAAAAAATAAAAAGGTTGAGAATGGCTGTTCTAGATGTTGTTGCACTCAAATTTCTATCATTACTAACTCGACTGGCCAGTGTGCTAGGATTTATGACGTCATACAGGCAAGGCAATAAAGAATGAATAGATTATAACTCTACATATTTATTTAATTTACCAATTTTTATTCTACCTTCCTACTGAAAAGTGATGTGCATTATTAAATGAAATTTAACAATATCTATAACAAATATCTGCAAACATCTTTCACGAAGGTTATATTGCTGCATATATTGGGGAAAACTAGTAAAACAACTCATAAAAAGAAAAGAAGACAGAACAATACGAGAACAATACGTGATAATATCCAATATAACAAAGCAGTATGACCAGTCATGTGAAGCACATTGGCTTATCACATTTCTTCTTATTTGTATGTATGGTTCACAGATTTTGCACTGATACTTTTGATTTGTTAATTGTATGATTTTCTTTCTCCATAAGTATATAATGCATCTATAATATAATGGCTTGGCGTCAGCCACAGGCGTTGTGAGTTCCATTAAAACATTTTGTCATGATTTTGATATATAACAAGGATACCTGATGATGATGAGTGAAAAGGCATAATATGTCCAGAATTGTAAGGCAAACTTCTGTGGCAATGTTGGCTTCAGTATCTACGTAGTTCACAATATCTGTTTCATTGGAACCACCTGAACAAAATAAAGGTTACTGAAAAACGTATTTAGAGATAACAGGGCTTCTGCAATTTGCCAATAGTAAATGCTACTAGGAAAGGATCAGTCATTTCAAGACTGTACTAAAAAGTTAGGCTTTCTGGATAGTATTATTCAACTTATGCAGCCATTTCTCTTCTCTAAACTGAACAGTGGCCATTCCTTTATGATTTTAGTGCAGTCTGTTTCTAGAAATGTATAAACATGAGTTTATCTCTTGACATCTAATTTTCCTGCTTAAAAATGATGATGTGAAATTACCCCAATCCATGTAATTATTTTTGCAATATTCCACTGGCCTCTAAACATGATTTCCCTAGTATGGGAACAGCTCACATTACAGCAAAATGCAACCTTTGGTGACTTTGGTCAACTCTTTATCTTTGTGCTTACTTGTAATTGTGCTGTCTATCATCTGCAGGAGTTTAGGATTAGAAAAGGGATTTTTGCCACGGATTATTGGCAGAGTTTGAGATCTGTGATGTTTGTGAACCTCACTACTGGAAGCAGAGTGTATCCTGCAAAAAGAAAAGGCAGAAATTTTTGATTCATCATCTCTTATGTTCCAAAGTTCCTTTGAGTCCTAAAGTCCTTTTTCCTTTTATTTGGTCTATGGCATGGTCCTCTCCTACAAATATTCTGAAACAAAGGAGACCAATGACACAGCATGGAAAGATGGCTGAAAAAGTTATAGGAAAAGTAACACTAATCCTAATCAATCCTATTTTAGTAGAAAGGAGTTCTACCAGTAGGTGATTTGTCTACCCCAGAAGCCACTGGGACATCCCTGGTAAACTGCAGACAAAAGACAGCTGCCACAATATTTTCTCAGCAGTAGGGCTAAATCCAGACAGTCTCTGCTCTCCTATTTTCAGTATCCCTCTCCTGATACAGTCCATAATCCACCTCAGTTACTCAAAGAGAAGGCTTGCTTCGTAGGTACTCCGGGGCACTCATAGCTATGCCACATATTTCTGAATCTTTTGTTGTGAGCTGGCTACCATGTAATTTCCCTGTTCATTCTGCTTACGAATGCTCTTAGAGAATATTTTATACACCCACTTAATGGAATCTTAGCTAACCAGGCAACTGTATTCTTTTTTATTTGCAACAATGCATAGGAATTTAGGACTGGAGCATTGTGTGCCACAGATTACAGTCTGAGACCAACTATGCATTTTGGGACTCATGGGTCACATCAAAAAACAGAGACCTGCTCTCAGTGAGGCACCAAAAAGCCCATTTCAGGGACAAATTGCTTGGCATGCTACATTTGTGCTAATGGGCGAACAAGCAGGAAAATATATGGGCTATATTTTGTACTTATCTAAATTCATGTTCACCCTAATCTCTAGAAAATTGTAGAGAAAAGTATAATACCCAATGCAAATATAACTGTACTGTCAATGTGTCCATACTTCTCTTCAGATTGTACATACCTTTCAAAATAAAAATATTCTACAAACCTTTGAAAGATGATCAAGCTAGGGCTTTGGTAGTAGATTTCATTTTAGAAACACACAATGATTAGATCAAAGCCTTCCAAATATAACCCCATACAGAAGAAGAAGAGAAAGAGCTATTGCGATTTCTGCTAGCTCCAATATTTTATTATGACTAACTTGAATGCATCATACCAAGCAGAAGGCATGGGGAATATGGAACCCATAAGATGTTGCTGAACTAAGTTTCCTTCAGGTCTCACCACTGCTTATTTGGATTAGAAATTTTGTTGAAACTAAAGTCTAACAGTTCACTGCACTGGCAAGGGCAACTCCTAGAAGCTTTCACTAATAGCTGTGCTGGCTGGGTTTTGTGAGAGATGTAGTCCAATACCTGGGATACCCAAGGTTAGGAGCCACTGGACTAGATGACTCCTAGGTTTTGCAACAGTACAATTTTGATGCTTCAAAAATCAGGAAAGCCACAGGCACCCCACTCCTAGTTTAAGTGCTGGCCTTGAGACATATATGTGAGGTGGGGAATTTACTACAATACACCTCTGTGGTTATTCCTTTCCTTTTGTGAAGCTTCACCACCAGCGTTCAGTAAACATGCAGCATTACAATGGCTTAATGAAACACTTCATCCAGAGAGACCCATTTAGGCCCAGCTGTAAAGTGAGATCACTGTTTATTTTGAAGTGAGAATCAAAGGAATGCATCATTTCCCTTCATGCTTCATTTGGTACAACACAGGACTATTATGATAGTAATTGTCCCCCCCCCCCAAAAAAAAATCTGGCTGCATATGAATTCACTAAGCCATTAAGAACTACAATATAAACAGGTCTTAAAATGTACCAATACATTCCCTCCTGTCATTATTTAATTCATTTTCATCATCTTCTTGTTGTTATATTACACTGTTATTGTTTTATGAATCTTGTTGTTAGCTGCCCAGAGTTGACTTTGGTCTAGATGGGCGGGATATAAACAAATAAAATAAAATAAATAATAGAGCAGAATCAAAAGTTTCAAGTATCTAATTTCAACAAACCAAGAAAGAACACTATATTACTTTTAATGACATTGATTCAGATCATTTCTTAGGCCAAAGAAAATGTGGTATAGGAAATCCAACACAGGATCTTCTGATGTTTATGGCTACACTTTAAAGCCACAATAGAAGCCCTGATTTTTATCATCATAGTGCTACTGAAAAAGGAGAAGATTAAACCTGTTTGCTGTTTGTTAATTCTAATTAAATCACATTTCTGACACTGTTGCTAACCAACCATGGGGCATGGGAAGACATATAGATACACTTTGTGGTTTTGTTAGTAGCTTGCAGAAGCAAATGTAATGCGTTCTTTAGCATCCTTAAAGTTAAAAAAAGAAAAGAAAAAGAAAATTTTGTCATTTTTAGTCACAGACTTTTTTGCACTTGCCTACAAAAAGGTTAGCCTTGCCTGCTTTGTTTATTAGCAGAATTGCATTTCTACAAGGCTTCTGCACAACTTATTTTAATGGAAAATTGATGGCCAACTTGGCAATGGAAGCTGCAGGAACTCTTGTGCGAGTGCATGTAGTCTGTGCATTCCACATCTCCATTTTTGTCTGTTGCAGCTCAATATACAGAAAGTAAGATAATATTGTCATGTCCCAGGAAGGAAAGTACTGATGAGCCCGGTGAGTCAGATTATCATTGCCTGAATTTATTAGTGAAAATTATATGGGATGGAGCAACTTCTGGACACTAAATCTTTATTTCTAAGTTCAAAGGTCAACAGTAAAACACATCTTACCACTGGGGCAGAAGACCAGATGTCTGACAGGATAAGTTGGAGCCTTTAAAAGTCCCATTATTCTGGCTGGCTTGAACAAATTTAAATGCAGCAGCAATTTTCCTAAATAATAATAATGATAATTAATAGTAGTAGTAGTAATAGCAATAGCAGCATCAGCAGTAGTAACAGTAATATTAATGAATTAGTAAAAAGCTTCAGTTCTAAATGCATTTTCCTGTTGAATGCCCTAATGACTAAAACAGGGTTTACTTCTGAGAAAACATGGATAGTATTAATGTCAAAAGAAAAATGTATTCTGAACATACCAAAATATTAAAATTAATTTATAGGGTTTTTAAAAAATGTAAACAACATTTTATTTGTAGGAAAATCATAATAAGCAGGAAAGCTGTCTGCTACATCCTGAAATGAAAAACAAGCCATGAAAATGGAGCAAAAGGAAACTGAACCTCTCTGAACTTTGGCAGCTATAGAAATGTTCTCACACTTTTGAGAAAACAGTTAAAACCAAATGCCAAGGAGCAAGGTCATCTCAGGTAGCAAGCACAGCTGACTCTTCATCTCATTACAACCTATGTCACATAGTAAGGCCAAAGGTCTGGCTAGAAAAAAAATATCAAAGGCCAAAGGTCTGGCTAGAAAAAATAATCAAACAATAGTCAAGTATAATCAGACTGAAGTTTTTTCTATGTGACTCTTCACAGCACAAACTTTTCCATGTACTTGATTACTTAGCTTCTTCCAAATCATGAGGTAGAGCAGCCTTCCTCAGTCTGCTGCATCCCAGATGATTTGGATTGACTAGCTATAAAATTCTACAAACTGCAACCAAATACCTCTCATAGTCTCAAGGTGGTGGCGGATTTAAATAAGGACATTGTTTGTAACTCTATCGGGTAAAGTATACAGTATTTAAACTTAGCCTTCTGAGAAACAAAAGGTGATCTGGATCCAGCTTATCAACAGCTGCTAAATTTATATACTTAAGTTACTTTTAAATATGCTTCACATTTCATATTGCTTTATCTTTGACGGCTAAAACATTACCTCACTATGTTTCGTTTCCCAAGATATCTGAAATTTTGAAGGCAAACCCTGAAAGAAAAGAACAGTAGAGATGTAGAGCCACTTTAATGGACAGTGTAAGTCTGCTGCTGTCTGCAGAACAGCCACAATTAAAACTTGATGGACGTATAATGTAAATACCTGCTCTGAGTTACACTACTAATAAAGCTGGAGACATACAGTATATCACAGAAGTGAGTACATTCCTCACATTTCATAAATATTTTAGTATATCTTTTCATGTGAGAACACTGAAGAAATGACACTTGGCTACAATGTAAAGCAGTAAGCATACAGTTTGTATAACAGTGTAAATGTGCTGTCCCCTCAAAATAACGCAACACACAGACATGAATGTCTAAACCGCTGGCAACAAAAGTGATAGCAATAAAACCAGATTGCCTGTTTATACAGGTCTACAGAAACACTACACCAGTTGTCCATGGATATCATGACCTATTTCAGTTACTGCTCTAAACATAACTAAGTCTGGATCCAAGCCTATTGATGGGGGAATGAATGAATGCAAGAGAGATTAAAATGAGTGAATGTCAATAAACAAAAAACAGTGCCACTTTGTACGTGTTTACCTCTAATGTGATCTATTACCAACAACAGCTTTGGATGGAGAAACCTCAAAATGTGCTTACTCTAAAATGTTGAAAAAGTCTGTTAGCTCTGTGAATGGGGCTCTTTGCCAGTAGGAGATCAAAGTATCTGGAAAGAGAAATTAAAAATGCACAGGTATTATTTCCTATTTTTTATTCAAGCACCATCTCAAAATGGAACAATCTAAGTATATTTTCGTCACTACAACCATCTTTCTAAAGTGCCCCCTTTTTGGTTCCATTACCAACATTATCAGACAAGGATGTGTCTTTGTTCTCATTAATTTATACCAAGGCAATCTATTTTACAGATGTCGAACACCAACAATTATGATCCAGAATTTATTTGGAGCCTCATTTGGGTTTCTAGGACTGAAACCTTCTCTGGAAGGTATGATATAGCTCATTCTAAGATATACAGTAATCCCTTTCAGGCATTTCAGGACAAGATTCACTTGAACTTATGAAAAGAGAGAGCAGGCTAGCTAAATTCATTGTTGCTTTCTTGATAGAGAGAGCAAGAATAGAACAGGTCAGCATCTTCCACCCTTGCAGTTCCTCTTTATGAAAGCATACTCTGATTTTTCGGGGTTCCAGATCATGCCAACAGCCTTCAGTTACAGTGGAAATTCTCCTTCATATTGCTCTCTGCTTGTGGTCCTTGGCCTAATTTCATGGATTTAGTGAATTGCTCTATTTATTTATTTGTTACTTTAGATATCTGTCAAGAGTGATCTCTTCTCCCTTTGACAGAATGTTAAGCAGGAGGAAAGAGTGTGTGGGGAAAAATAAAGATGTAGAGAGAGAAAAGCATGTGACAGAAGAGGAAGAACAGGTATTGCTGCTGATTTCAACTCTCTCCTTTGTCAGTATACAGCCCTGGGGTGCTAACAAGAAAAATGTTCCCAACTCTGGGGTTATACTAAAGGACATGCTACTATGACAATTAATTGTGTGCTTTCATGCCAATTCTGATTTCTGATAACCCATTTTGGTTTTTTTTGGTAGAGAGTACTCAGAAGTGGTTTATCATTTTCATCTGTGGGCATCCTGAGATTGCCCAAGTCCATATAGGCTAGCTCTTCTGAGATGAAAGAAGGGCAGCTGATCTCCCAGCTTCTGGCTCCACAGCTAGATACCCAACTCATTGAGCTATCCAACCAGTTTATTAGAAAAAATAGTGATACCATCATCACCACCACCACTGCTACTACCATTACAGTAGCACCACTATTAGTACTATTATTTCTCCTATTGCTTCAAAGAGGGGCATATGAGCCTTCAGATATTGTTTAGCTGAAACTCCCACCATACTTTACTATTGGTCATGCTTGTTATGGGGGTTTTATGAGAAAGCCCACCAATGTCTAGAGAGCTACACCTTCTTCTGTTCTGATTCAGAGCTTGAGCAAATGTTCACTGGAGGAACTGGTACCGAATGAAACCAGAAATGCAGAATGAATCCAGGTACCGTATAATGCAAACTGTTATACTATGCTCTTCCCCTACCTTCTGAAATTGTTTTCATAATGTGAAGGAAACACATCAGAAGACTTCTAGTTTCAGCCTGATCTAGCTTGTCAAAACGAAGGGCCGATCCAATGAGAGACAGGGGTCTCACAATCTGTTGGGAGTGAAATACAGAGGAATTTTTTTATTTACCAGGAATACTTCCAGTTTTTTTAAAAAAATGCTTTTAACTGTTTGTTTGCATGCATATATATACCTTTTCACATGTTTCTGTTGCCTCACTGTTCTTTTCATTGGTGCTTGGGTTAGAGTCAAGACTTGCTAAGGAGCCTCTGGAATCAGCATGGTTGGCTGCAGAAATAGCTACTGATGAAAAGGCTAGAAACAAAAGCCACAGCAAACATGCTAAAATGATGTTTATGGACATGAAAATTAAGCAGAAGAATGAGGACCAAGCTACAGAATGTAAGGGTGGTACTGTTCTGAAGAACATAGTGTAGGTCAGTTAACCAAAGAGGTTTAGTGGTGTGGCTTTGTATGGATGAAATACAGCCAACACTGAAAAACAATGACAAGTATTTTATTACAGATGGCTTTAGATATATTCTTAGACACAATGGATCAATGACTACTGAAGCAGAGAATTTGATTAATCATCTACCAGGATTTTTTTAAAAAAATAATTAAGTGAGTTCTGGGCATTTTCTGATTCACGAGAATTCCAGTGTTAGTCTTCTTGGTTCAATATTGAGATTGGGTTAATTTTAGATATTTTTTATTCCCTGAAATACTTAAAAATTCAATGCCCTTTCTCTCTCCAAATGGCACCAGACTACTGGCAACTAATATTCATTATTTGTATTGCTGGGATCAAAAAAAGAAAAAAAATTCTAGTAAGGAATCCCAGTAGGAAAAGGCAATTAATTTGTTGGGACAGCCCCACCTGTTTTTCTATCTGGAAGAAAATATACACATGGCAAGTGGGTGAGTCTCAGAGATACTGACCACAATTCAGAGTTGAAGATCTCAACTGTGAATTGGCACAACTTAAGAACTTGGCATAGGCAATTTGCTGTCACTTTCCAATCACATGACTCATGTACAGCAGCAAATGGCTGCACTGATTATTTTGTAGGTCTTATTCTGTGTGAATTCTGCAATCCAGATGATTCTGGAGGGGCTAAAATGTCTTATCCTGATGGATGAGGGTTAAGTGCGACCAGTATTCTGTTTGAAGACAAACCCATACATTACGATACTCTGCAATTGTATTCTATAATTTGGGATAGGAGGAGCGACTTATTTCTAGGACTGTTTATTCATTTATCCTATTATTTTTAGTTATGATGATTTAACTTTATGTATTCATTAGATCATTTATATTCTATACCTTCCCTAGAAAGTCCCAGGCAGCTAACAATGGGATAATGGTCACAGCTTTATGGGGAGGGTGTAGCACAAACAAAGACACCGTATCGTATCAGAATTGTCACTTGATGAGAAAAAGGTACTTTGAGAAGACCCATCTCTGCAGAAATAATGTGAATGGAAAAGAAGATGATCACAGTGGAGCAAAACAGACAGCTATGGAAATGTTTCCGTACCTGCAATAGAGTTAAGAACATCTTTGGAAAAAGAGGTATCTACAGAATTCGCATGTTTCATTACCGTCTGACTCTGAAATCCCCCGTTAGTGCTCAGATCATCCCTGGATCCCTGGATTTCAAAGACAGGACAGATTTAGTTATCCAGCTTACTGTCTGCTTCCTAGTTCTATAATGATGGCATTTTCCCATTTTATTTTCTGGAACTGACATGAGACTATGCATAAAAGTCTCTACATCTTTTGATCAAAACCACGGAGGGTTTATCATCAGCAGCATGATAGCCTTATGCTTTTATCTGTTTCTGTCTCCTAAGTGTTCAAAGCAATTCAGATAATCTGTAAAGAAAGCAAGTACAATTCTCCTCATTTCACAGATCAGAGAATAAGGCAAAGACGTTTATTGCCTCAAATGAAGAAATCTACACAGACTATTATCTGTTGCGTGAGTTGCAAGACTCAGTATGTGTCAGATTATGTCTATAGAGATTTCTTAACCTATGGCAATTGCTTCCAAAACTTGCACTTTCTGCTTTATGCCAGTGTAATTAGACTGCAGGATTTGGGCCATTCAGTTGATACATTAAACTAATGTGCGTTGTAGACTGTAGCCCGCTTCATTAGATGCATCTGAAGTTAGGTGCAGCCCACAAAAGCTTATGCCAAATAAACCCTGACTATCTTTAAGGTGCCATGAAATTCTTCATTATTTTTATTGCAACAAAGTAACATGACTAGACCTGAAAAATTCATCCAGCAGAGGCAGGATTTAAAACAACCATGCTTGTACAACAGCTCATTTTTTAAAATGAAATAGTTACTTGGCATACTTCTGGAAATCCACTCTACTTACCTGATTGGATGTATTCATGTTGTACAGAAACATATAGATCCTTGGCATGTTGTCCAAAAGCAAGCCATAAAGAGGCATATATAAGTTTGCTATTTTTTCCTGCTTCTCCTGAAAAAAGCAGAAAGAAAAAGAAATTCAAGGAGATAGCTCACTGCAAAGACCTCCATGAAAGCTTTTTATATAAAAAAAGAACACCTTGCTGTAACACACATATAAGGCAAAAGGTTACCAGCTATTACCAGCTCTGTGTATCGGTCATCAAATGAATGCTTTGCCATGAGATTTTTCAGTACAGCTAAGGCCATGTGTCTGATATCCTGGTCTTCCTGGAGAGCCCACCCAACCTCCCGAAGAAGTAAGCCAATCAAGAAATGCTTCCGGCAAAATTCATTCGTCAGTGTGTATTCCGGCACATCTTGAAGAAAACAAGGCAAAGAGGTTTACTTTCTGTGCTAATGTTTGTCCAAAAACTGATACACTACAGTTAGTACAAAAGTCTTGTGTCATTCCTCCACAATCCACTTAAACAAGCTAACTAAAGTTTTTAAGATGGCACTTATGTTTTCATTGGCTGAAATCTTGTTGCTTAGCATAGGAATTAGAGTAGGCTTACTGCACCAACAGAACCTATGGAGAAGTTGACTCATCAAATCTCCACTGATTTAATGGGCCTACTCTAGTTGTGACTTAATATGCTGAGCAATAGAATTTCAGTCTCTATATTTTAAATGTGTTCCATTTCAAAATCAGTTTAGTTATGGTCTGATGTTGATAATATTTTGCTTTTCAATTAAAATGCTTACTAATTATATTGTAAGCCACCTTAAGTTCCCCCAAATAAATATATTATATATCTTAATACATGTATCTCTTATTTTATTAGCTACATTTCTATCTTACTTTTTCACCAAAGAGTAAAAGAGGTTATAAATGGCCCTCCTCAATTCCCTTTCTCCTCACAACAACAAGCCCATGAAGTAGGTGAGTGTAAACAGCCAAAGGTCCCCTACTGAGTTTTCAAGAAGGACAGCACTTGGATCCACCAAGCAATTAATCACCAATGATTATTTGTCATCAAGTTTTCTGAGCTCTGTGACCCTCACATGGTGTGCTAGGTATAAAGTACAGGTATTTACAAGTGGTTTACCAGTCATTCCTCCTGGTTGTGCTGTGGAGCCATCCAGCTTGCCTACAACCACACGAGTGGCAGGACATATAACCCCATCAGTCACATGCTCTGATTGGCACCTTGTCCAGGAGAGACTGAAACTTCACCCCAAATCCCATCAGTTTCCCACCACTGCCTATAATATACATTGAACTGATGGCCATGGGAAAAAGAGATTTCTCACCTGATGCACGATACTGCTGTGTTGTTTCTGATGGTGTTGTTGGATCTTAAATCATTTCAGAGAAATATAGAAGAGAAGAGAGGAGGAAGACAGGAATTACATTCTAATGAATTTTGGTTAATGGCCATCTTTACTGTGAATATAATGTTTGTTTGAATAATCTATAAGAGGTGTTATAGTACTGTTAGTAATGAAAGTAAGGTTTGTTCATCCTTGTTTATTTAGACCACATGAAAGGTTCTTAAGAGGGGTTCATATGCCCATTACCTTCCCTCTCCATTGCAGATGTGTGCAGCTATTACCTGTTTAGTCTGTTAACAAGACAACGTAGTACATGAGTAAAAAGGTAAAGGTTCCCCTTGACAATTTTTGTCCAGTCGTGTTCGACTTTAGGGGGCGGTGCTCATCCCCATTTCCAAGCCATAAAGCCAGCGTTTTGTCCGAAGACAATCTTCCGTGGTCACATGGCCAGTGCGACTTAGACACGGAATGCTGTTACCTTCTATTGATCTACTTGCATTTGCATGCTTTCGAACCGCTAGATTGGCGGGAGCTGGGACAAGCGATGGGCGCTCACTCCGTCGCATGGATACGATCTTATGACTGCTTGGTCTTCTGACCCTGTAGCACAGGCTTCTGTGGTTTAGCCCACAGCGCCACCACGTCCCTCTAGTACATGAGTATAAATCCCAATTTCAATTATTCTGTATGAAATGTGTAGTAGCCTATGCTCAAGATTTATAGCCCAGTATGCTAAAAAAGCTCAGAACTAGTGAGGGATCAGAAGACTGCAAAGGTGTGTGCCTGATTACACTGGGAAAATGTTGCTTAAATGAGAGTGATTCCCCTTAAATTGATCCTTCCATCTGCTTGGGAATCTCTCCAGCCAGGCCACCAAAAGTACAGCTTTCCTACAGCTAGACCACCTGGTCCTGCTTGAACATGGTTTGGGGTTGGGCTGGAGTGCATTTCCCCATGTGCCATGTGACTGCTGGGAAAAAGATCATACCAGAACACTTCAAAAGCAGTACTAATCACGATATATTTCCCCATGTGATCACACCCTTAGTTACATAAATTGGTAAAGTGCTTCAACAGTTGAGGAAACATGGAGTGAAAAAGGAATCGTGAAGTGAAAATGTACTCCTGGATCTGTAATGTGGTGTTTCCCAACCTTGTGTCCCCAGATATTCTTCAACTATAACTCTCCAAAATCCTGGCCAGCATAGCTAGTGGTGAAGAGTTCTGGGAATTTTAGTCCAAGAACATATGGGGATCCAAGGTTGGGAACTACTATTGTAATAGTTCACAATATGAATATGAAGATTTGGACAGGGATTTTACTTGCTTTTAATAGGTAATCCCATATTTGCAAAGTTCATCTTCTACTATATTAGGAATAGCTATAACTAATTTTATAAAACAATGTCAAAACTTGGTGAGCACAGCTGGGATGGTAGTATAATGTATAGTTTTGAACGTAAAAGTTTGATGGAAAAGAATTTATATACAAATAATATACCTGTCTCTTTTTGCTTCACCCAAGTTTTGTTTAAGTGAGGCTCCCAGTACAGTGGTGCCTCGCTTTACGATTGCCCCACATTACGACAAATCCGCTTTACGACGATCTTTTTTCGATCGCAATTGCGATTGCAAAACAATGGTCTTAATGTGGGAATTTCGCTTTGCGATGATCGATTCCCTGCTTCGGGAACCGATTCTTTGCAAAACGATGATTTTTCAACAGCTGATCAGTGGTTTCAAAATGGCCACCAGGTAAATAAAATGGCTCTCTGCTGTGTTTAGGAACGGATTCCTCGCTATACAGGCAGCGAAAATGGCCGCCGTATGGAGGATCTTCACTGGACGGTGAGTTTTAAGCCCACTGGAATGCATTGAAAGGTTTTCAATGCGTTTCAATGGGCTTTTGATTTTCGCTTTACGATGTTTTCGCTTAACGGCGATTTTTCTGGGACAGATTATTGTCATTAGGCGAGGCACCACTGTACCAAAATATACTTTAAAAAAACAAACAAACCAAAAAAACCTCTTTAAAGATGCTGAAACCTATGTCCGTGTTGTATGGCTTGATTTCCTGTTTCTTCCTTTCTTTCCAGTTTATTTCAGTATTCTTATACTGATATCCTACCATTTCTACAGTTTAGAGCTTAAGGAAATTCAGTTTTGAAAACAATACCTTCAACATATTTTATTTATATACACTGTTTGTAGAGTTCATAGAATCATTTTTTAAAATATACAGTTCAACATTGTATTCTTCCTAAATACAGTTATATGAAATTGTCTCATTGGTTTCACAATGGCTTGTATTGATATGTGTGTGTTTAAGATTGTAGATAGTGCCTTGTAAGATATAAAAATTAAGAAACAGTCAGGTCCTTACCTGGAATGTCTGCAGATTTTATAGGTAAACACAGAGGAATGAAGTGTTCATGGTTACAAACTTCTTGAAGAAAGTCAAATTTATACTGGAACAATATCTGAAATATTACAATACAGATTAATGGAGCGGATTCATACTTGGCTGACTAAATCACATAATAAAACTTTAAAATATAACAAAACATTTTACAAAAGTACAACCATTTGGGTTTTCACTAATTTATGATAGTTTCCCAATAACAACAACAACAACAACAACAATAATAAGAATAATAAGAAGAAGAAGAAGAAGAAGAAGAAGAAGAAGAAGAAGAAGAAGAAGAAGAAGAAGAAGAAGAAGAAGAAGAAGAAGAAGAAGCCACATTTCTCCCAATAAGGGACCCAAATTGGCTCACAACATTAAAACAACATTAAAATGCACACAATTTAAAAACACAATAAGTTAAATATTAAAAGATAATTAAATAATATATGATTTAAAATACAATTAAAATATTAAAACATGAAAAGATAAAAAAAACTAAAATGGGGTTCAGGGATTCAGTGATAATTGTTAAAAGCCTGCCTGAAGAGATGGGTCTTTAGCTTTTTTCAAACATATATTTGAAGATGCCTTATGTCACACATATATCAATTTTCAGCATTTATGAAAGTTTTTAGAACGATTTCTTTCAGAATATGCTCCCAAAAGTGATTTGTCACTGGACACTGTGTCACACTGGGTACTGAACCCCATTATATGACATTACATTGTGAATAGTCATGAATAGGCAGCAACCAAGGGAATGGGGCGGCAATGTCCATCTTAGCATTTTCTGATTAGCTCAGGAGCAAAGGGTGGATCATACCACACACTATACTCATTTTAGTAATGAATTCTTTTTATCTTTCAGCTAAGGCCACATTTCTAGAAGCAGAAGATTGTCTATGATACATATTTATATAATTCTAAAGAAGTAAAAGTGGCCATATATGGTGAACACATGTGGTACAATTAAGATGACTCTATTTCTATCGTGCTGGCTGGATAGCTGAGTGAGTTGGGAACCTGCCTTGCAGAGTCAGAGGCTGGGAGTCTGATTGCCCACTCTGCCTCTCTGGAGCAGAGCCAGTCCTAGGCAAGCTGCTCAGACCCAGAGTGTCCCCAGAAGAAAGGAACAACAAACTTGTGTATTTCGTATGAGTCATCATAAGCTGGAATTTATTTCACTGCACATAATTATTATTATTATTAAATATTAAATGTGGAGATCCAGGTGTTTTTTTAAAAATGCAGATCCTAACTTTTTCTTATTGAAAAAAAAAATGGCTTTGACTTAAGTTTCCTCACCTTGGGGTCACCTGGTCCAAACATGCTTATATAGCTGTTGATTAGTTTAAATACAAATCCACGATCCATGAAAGTGAAGCAACGCTAAAACAAAAGAAATTATACAGTTATTAATTTAAGATAAACATGGGCAGAAAAATAGATGAAAACAATGAAAGTAGCCAGTAAAGATCTAGTATTATTAATGTCTTATGTATGTATGTATGTATGTATGTATGTTTGTATGTATGTATGTATGTATGTATGTATGTATGTATGTATTTA